ACACATTCATGCACTCATGCAAGCAGTCAACACTCGGTACTTCCGATCATCAGCCCCGGGGGCGCATACACACACGCCTACCCATAGAGCCCTCAATGAGACATTCAACATCCATAGACTTCCATACCCGAAAATGCATAATGGATTACCCACACATTGGGACCACTGCATACACATATCACACGGGGACAAAGCAGCAATGGAGAAAAAACTCGTCTTAAAATACAGAATTCTCACGACTGGCTGTTCCAGGGCCAGTCCCCAATCCGTCAAAAGTTCTCAAAACCACCGACAACCATAGCCACAAGGCCCTGCCGCTGCCGGCGTCTGATCTCCACCACCGCTCAGTCCCTCCGACTGCCTTACCCCAAGTCTACCGCTAACTCCGCCACCCGCCGTCACTCCGCCCATCACGGGCCACTTTGAGCCTTTCCAACGCCGCGGGCTTCATACAAAGTTTGCGCAGCTTGCAGCTGAGATCAAAGAAAGTAAGAGGAAGGGCTTGCGAGAATTTATAGCGTGGAAAGCGGCGGGGAGGCTGCGCGAAGCACGGGGTGTAGATGGGCCGGACAAAAGAAGGGCAGACATTCCAGAAGGATCGAAGGAGGCAAGTCGGATGATCGGCGTGATTGGGGTGGTCATCCAAGTGGGTGCGCTTCCCGCTACCACATTGCCCCGACCAACCCAATCAGACAGCCAATCGTTCGCAGGGAAAGGAGGAGGGGATCGGACTTCGTTTAGAGGGAAGACGAAGAGGCATGCAGGAAGGGAATGCGAAGCAAGCAGGGAAGATGGCGTGGGGATGCAGAGCGGAAGAGTGGGTTTACGCAGCACGCAAAAATTCAAAAACAGCCGCACGCGCAAAAAATTCAAAATTCCTACTCCCGCTAATTCCCAACCGTTTCTTGAATTTCTTGGCGCGGCCGCTAACCGGCCACACAAGACCCGTATTACATTTTCTACTCTGTCCCTCTTTTCGTAAAGGAAAAAGAAAGAAAGAAAAAGAAATGAAGCCCCATTTTTCCCTGTTATCTTGAATCCGTACTTGGGGGCTTTACATGGGGGTACGGGAAGCCATAGAGTACGGATCCTGGCTTATCACAGGCCAAGCCGTGCAAGAACCAGGGAAGGTCCCAGCTGGAGAAAGAAAAAGAAATCCAAAAAATCCGAAAGAAAACTATGTTATGCAGAAAAATAAACTGAACAACTTTTGCCCCAGGGTCACATCAATGTAGCCTTGTAATTCATACTGATTCTCTTGAAAACGGACTGGATTATGGATTGAGTAGTTTTGAATGTGTTTTATTTCGAAATTCAGACCGATTATTAGGGTTAATCTGTGAGGCTATGATTGGTGTTGTTTTTCTTTCACCCGCCCTTTTACTGATGGAGCTTTTTCAGCCCTTTTGCCTAGGGGTAACTAGGGCTCAGTCACGAAAGCAGTTTGTAAGTGCATTTCGAACTGCCTCTTTCTTTGGAGTCCAGTACCGTCCCAAGTTTCAACTGCAGTTGAAACTCTTGACATGCACAAAAGTCGCGAGGCCGAGTTTGCAACTGCAGTCCAGTCGGGCATGTGGCGTTTTTTTTTTTTTTTTTTTTTTTTT